CCGGCACACACCCCAGCGCCCAGCCCCAGACCCCGGGAACCCCCAGCATGCCGGCGGCCAGCCACACACCCCACCGGGGGGCCGAGTAGCAGCGGGCCAAACCAAACTTTTTAAATTATTCTTCAACTGCACAGGGAGGCCAGAACAGGCGTAATCTGAGCTTTTCTGTTGGTCTTAACAGCCTTGCTGCAGTGCTCTGCACAGACTGAAGGCGAGCCAGGAAGGATTTGTTGAGACATTATGTTGAGACATTAAGATTTTAGCTTAGAAATATATGATAAAAATGGTTATTAATTAACATTTTTCAATGACTGTCAAAAGACAAGAAGGGATGACACCCAGATTTCTGAGACATTTTTTCACAGAAGGAGTTAAAAAAGCAAGATGCCTAATTACAGGATTTTTTTTTTCATCAGGGGTGAAAATAAGAGTCTCAGTCTTGTTTGCATCGAACTGCAGATAGTTGTTCAGCCATAGTTTGATTTCTGACAGTTACAGAGTTTAGAAAGTTTGTACGGTAGATCTCTGAAGTTTGAAAGGAACAGCACAGGTGTATGTCATCAGCATACAGATGATATGACACTTTGCTATAATGTTTTAGTATGTTCCCTAAAGGATATAAATACAATAAAATAATAATAAAAAGAGGATTTGGCCCCATACTGAACCTTGTGGTACTCAACATCGGAATAAACCAGATTTGTAAAAACAGTAAAAGACCTTTCAGATAAATAAGAAGTGAACCAGTTTAACAAATACCAAATGAGTCTCTCAATCTTCCTGATAGCTAAAGACATATCTATTAAATAAACATTTTTATCAAAGATCCTTGAGAAGATTGTTCGTTGTGTTGTTTAGCAGTGGTCAAACAACAAACCCTGCAATGTTTGGAAAAATAAAATAAACTTAGGAAAATGGTGAATCTAGCTTTCACACAAACACTTTTCTGTGTCAGCAATTTGTTGCTACCAGAGGGGGTGCCTTCGGAGCGACAGTGGGCTCGTTATTACCTGAAGATCTACAGAGCAGAGGGTCTCCCTAGAATGAACACCAGCCTTATGGCCAACGTCAAAAAGGCTTTCATTGGAGAAAATAAGGACCTGGTTGATCCTTATGTCCTAGTACATTTTGCTGGACAGAAGGTGAGTGAAGAGATCAGATAAAAATTCTTGTACTCTCTTTATTTTTTTCAAGCCAGGATCAAAGTAATAAAGATGTTCATTTGTAATTTCAGGGGAAAACATCCGTTCAGAAGAGCTGCTATGAGCCTATCTGGAATGAGCAAATTGTTTTTACAGAGATGTTTCCACCACTGTGCAAACGCATGAAGATCCAGATCCGTGACTCGGATAAAGTGAATGACGTTGCCATAGGAACACACTTCTTAGATCTCAAGAAGATTTCCAATGATGGTGACAAAGGTGATTTATTAGTCATCCTACAAACATTGTGTGACTTACTGAACATCCCTAGTCTTATGGGAACATTCTGAATTCCAAAGTACCTCATGCACATCCTGACAATTTTTATTTCCAAGGCTTCCTTCCCACCCTGGGACCAGCCTGGGTCAACATGTATGGCTCCACTCGCACCTATACCTTGATGGATGAGTACCAGGAGTTAAACGAAGGGCTTGGTGAAGGCGTGTCTTTCAGGGCCCGTTTGCTCATTAGCCTGGGTGTAGAGATCCTGGATCCCTCCTCGCCTGAGGTTACCAGCTCCACAGAGGTGCAGGTGGAGGGAGTGCCCAACATCTCAGAGGTGGGTCCCTGCTGCATGGGCAGTCATGCAGAGGGAGTCACTGCTCCCACTGCTGACTGGTCATTGTGTTGTGATAAGAACATATTTAGCTCTGCTGAAGCATTACTGAATAGGTATTTACGCTTTCTACTTCATTGTGCCAGTCTGTCGGTGCTTTATGAAAACACTTTTCTATTATTTTCGACAGAGTGCTACAGGAAAGGTTGAGGAATTTTTCCTCTTCGCTTCTTTCCTGGAGGCCACAATGATCGACAGGAAAATTGGTGATAAGCCGATCAACTTTGAGGTCACCATAGGTATTTTATTATCAGTCTTAACAAAAAGTGATGAGAAGGTAAATAAAATTTCCAATATAATCATTTACCACATTGATGCTTTTAGGTTACTATGGAAATGAGAATGACGGAGTTATCCAACCAAAAACGAAGGGGAGGAAGGGCAACAGTGATGAGGAGGAAACTGAACTGATCCACAACTCCAGTGAGGAGGAGATGGACGATGATGGAGACCTGACATCAGTGTCAACATCTCCCCCCATGAAACCTGTCATCACAGATGGGTTAGAGCTATAAAAATGGCCACTAACCTAATGAAAAGCAGATAACATAAGATAAACAGATTTAGCTACTCTTTTAAGCATTCAGTTTGTACAAATTAGCTTGGGAGTAGTTGAAATGTGATAAAGATTATAATAAAATTGTACATACCACAATTTTAAGCCAACATTCCCATTAAAGATGGTAAAATTGTCATTTTTATTCATAGAAACTACTTTCATCTGCCTTACTTTGAGAGAAAGCCGTGCATTTACATCAAGAGTTGGTGGCAGGATCAGAGAAGAAGGCTCTACAATGCCAACAACATTGACAACATTGCTGACAAACTGGCAAGTCTTACTCTTTATGAACAAAGTGTATTTCATTTCGTACAGAAATACATGGTAAGCAGAGAAAGTGCATTGTCTGTGGATGAAGTGATTTTGTTTAAATCTGCTAAAACTGAGTTGGTAAAGCCAAAACAAGCACAACATTAAGTAAAAGCTAAAAATTTGGAAAAGACTACCTGAAATATGAAAAACCTTCAAAATTCAAAATTAACATAATGCAAGCTATGAACTAATTGTAACAAAATGGTAGACAGAAGCTAAAAGTAGCAAAAGGATAGCTAAAACTATTAATAGGCTGGATAGAGGCTAAAAGTCTCAAAAAGCTAGCTGAAAGCTAAGCAGATTGGTAGTTTAAAACTAAAAGGAGCTATAAACACTATCTAAATGTAGCAAAATTTAGGATATAGCAAACAAATAATAGGTAAAAGCAGCAAAAGGCTACAAAAATGCCAATAGCAGCAACATGTTAGCTAAAAGCTATTTTAGCAAAAGAGTTGCTACTAGTAGAAAGGAGTGTCCTGATGCATCTCAGTAATCCAAGTAAAAAATCAAAAGGAAAAAAATTGTATAGGTCTTCTGGGCGGGTTCTTCTTTAATGAAACGTTTCGTCTCTCCTCCAAGAGACTTCTTCAGTCTGAGAGTTTCAGGCAAAATTCAGGCTTTTAAGCCCTGCCTCCATGTGACTGATACTCACATCACATGGCTATCGTTCACACCTAATTAACACCTATTGTTAACAGGGGGTGGAGTGATACTGGCAATGGCAGCGCTGTAGGAGGGGGACAACTGAAAACGGAGGCCTCCACCTCTGTTTAATGATGGACGGTCTTTCTTCACAAAAATGGCTTCTTTTACTCCTCTCTCAAACCAACGTTCCTCTCTATCAAGAATGAGAACATCCTCATCTCTGAAAGAGTGACCGCTGGYCTGTAAATGAGTGAAAACTGCAGAGTTCCGGCCATTAGAATTAGCTCGTCTGTGTTGGGACATTCTTTTGAACAGTGGTTGCTTTGTTTCCCCGATGTATAACTGGTCGCAGTCCTCCTGGCACTTAACAGCATATACAACATTGCTCTGTTTGTGCCGGGGCACCGGATCTTTGGGGTGAACCAGCCTTTACCGTAATGTGTTTTGGGGTTTGAAAGCTACTGGGACATCATGTTTAGAAAATAAACGTCTCAGTTTCTCCGAAACACCCGCAACATACGGAATAACCACTGGTTTGGGTCTGGGTTTGGGGTCTTCATTTTCACCTGAAGGTTGCATGGAGTCCTGTCTGTGTTTCCTGTCTGCTTTCAGGAGACAGGTAGAAAGCGTAGTAGTAGAAGGTAGTAGAAAGGAGCTATATATAGGCTAAAACTAATAAAACTTATAAATTATCAAAATGTTTGCTAAACTAATAGAAACAAAAGGTTAATTAAAAATGAAAAGTTGCAAACTGTTTGCTAAAACTTTATAAAAGCTAACTGGAAGCTAAAAATAAAAAAGATAGTAAATGTTGAAATAATGGATAATTCATCCATTACCTTCTGCTTCATCAAAGTCGGGTCGTGGGGCAGCAGCTTGAGCAGGGAAGCCCAGACCTCTCTTTCCCCGGTCACATGTTCCAGCTCTTCTGGGAGGACTCCAATGCATTCCCAGGCCAGCCGAGAGACATAGTCTCTTCACCGTGTCCTGGGTCTTCCTCGGGGTCTCCTCCCAGTTGGACATGCTTGAAACACCTCCCCAGGGAGGCGTCCAGGAGGCATCCTTACTAGATGCCTGAACCACCTCAACTGGCTCCTCTTGTTGTGGAGGAGCAGCGGCTCTACTCTGAGTCACTCCTGGATGACTGAAATGGCATAAAAAATTGGATGTAAGTCTACATCTGAGTTGATAAAGCTAAATACTTAAAAGTAGCAAAACTGTATCTAGAATCTAAAAGTTACAAAGGGTTAGCTAAAAGTATTAGCTTAAAAGCACTAGTTAAAAACAGCAAAATGTAGGTTAAGGCTAAATGTATCAAAGTTCTAGCTAACAGCATCAACAGGCTGGTTGAAAGCTATGAGTTTCAGTCTAGTAGATAAAAATAAATAAAAAAGAACAGTAGCTAAAATAAACTTTCGACAAAAACAAATCAAGTAAGCTGAAGATTTCAAAGAGAACAATGTTGTGATGAAACTGAAGGAATCCTAATTTATTTCTATTGTAAAGATATTTTTTTACACAAAGACTGCAGGAAAATGTAAACATAGATAATAAAAAAATAACATGTGAGTGCTGAATCAGATTTGACACAATAATGAGTAAAGTTGAGCTGAACTGTTTTGTAGGAGGACGGACTGAACGACGTGCAGGAGATCATCAAAACAGAGAAGTCCTACCCTGAACGCAGACTGCGAGGAGTTCTTGAGGAGCTCAGCCATGGATGCAGGTACCTTACAAACCAAAAACAGGAAAGTTTGATTAAACCTTTCAAATTCTGAACAAGCTTCTATTCTTTCAGTCAGTTTATTTCATTAGCAAACAAAGACCAGAATCAGTCTGGCAGAACCAAACTTGACAAGGAGAGGCTAAAGCTGTGCCTGTCAGAAGTGGTAGGTTAGCTAAAGATAGTCAGTTCCTGCTATTTATGTTATTTCTGATTGACTAAAGGAGTAAGTTTCTCTTTTTGTAGGAGGCCATAGGTCAACAAGCTAAGGCCATGAGGTCGCAGGTGAAGAAAAGCACGGTGAGAGATAAACTCAAACTGGCTCAGAACTTTCTTTCAAAGCTGCGCTTCCTGGCTGATGAAGTAAGTCCTCCAGCTTATGGGCCAAATCCTAAAATATTTAAATTTTTGCAGTCGGCATGTTTGATAAATGGCTTGTTTTTCCTTGCAGCCTCAGCACAGCGTTCCTGATGTTTTCATATGGATGATCAGCAATGGGAAGCGCATTGCTTATGCACGTGTTCCTTCTAAAGACATCCTTTACTCCAGCATTGATGAGGAGAAAGGAAAAGACTGTGGCAAAGTCAAAACAATCTTCCTCAGGGTGAGTTTAAACTAAATGTGGGGGAAAGTTAACTGTAATACATTTTAAATATGTTGTTCTGACACTTTTTTTTCCTTGTCAAAAAAAAGATTCCTGGTAAAAAAGGTTTTGGACCTGCAGGATGGACTGTCCAGTCCAAAATAGAAATTTATCTGTGGCTGGGTCTGAATAGGCAGCGTAAAGATTACCTGAGTGGCCTGCCCAATGGATTTGAAGAAAATAAGTTGTCCAAAGGACCTGGTCTGCCGTCTTCACCTCCCATCAGCCTCACCTACATGAGTACAAATATTTACTGGTTCAGTGGTTTTTGCACATTTCCTGTCTTTTTGGTGGTGGGCACAGTTCTGCTAATCTGCTAATAGAACTAGCTTTTAATTTAGCGGATTAGCTTTTTTTGCTAACTTTAAAAACCATTAGCAGACTGATCAACTTCCTCTAAATTAGGCTAAGTCCACTAAAATAATTCACAACTATAAAATTTATGCCTAATCAGATAAAAAACAAACTCTTCTTACAAACAGTGCTGGATYTTTCAGACATCTTCTGTGTAGCATGTAGCTTCTTTAGCAGCTAAACTTCAAACTAAGAGCCTCAAAAAGAAATTAAATAACATGTAACGATATTTAAATAACAAATGCAAAAATTGACTACATATAAAATATGGTAGAGAGAGCTTGTAATTTGACTAACTCCAAGTGGTATTCATAAAAGTACAAACTCAAACACAAAATGCTTTTATTCAGAAAGGGTAAACTAAGGTATAACAAAGTTTAATTAATTCATTAGTTTGTTTATTTATTTATATTTTACATAGCTATAACTCTGGTTTGGATGAGCCGCAGATGAAAAATTAAACACACAGAAAAGAACACCACTGTGAAACACACAGGAAGATACAGCAAAACAAACACACACAGAGACCCAGGTTTACATATGTGCCTTTCATGTCAGTGGGGTCCAATAAGCAAAGCACATTCTGAAACACTTATCTTGTACGCCACATATTTCATGTGTGTTAATGTTTGTGTTCAGTGAAACAGATCTTTCAGTTGAGGGTTCACATGTACCAGGCTCGCAGCCTGTTCGCCGCAGACAGTACAGGTCTGTCTGATCCTTTTGCGAGAGTTTTCTTCTCAACTCAAAGCCAAGTCACTGAGGTAAGTTTGCCTTTCATAAAAAACATCTTTCATGGCATTCTGGGTCTTAAATTTAACTTTTTTAACAGGTGCTGTCTGAGACTCTGTGCCCCACGTGGGACCAGCTGCTGGTGTTTGAGAATGTGGAGCTGTTTGGAGAGGCCAGCGAGCTGAGAGACGATCCACCGATTATTGTCATTGAATTATATGATCAGGACACAGTGGTGAGGAATACTTTCAAACAGAAACAGCTTCATGTTTCTGTTTCACTGGAGTAAGACCTTTGAACAGTTCAATTGTCTAAATATTGATATGTTGCTTCATCTTTTAACTTGTAAAAGTAATGATTTGTCTGTGTCTGTATAAACTTGATTTCTATTTGAAAGAATGTGTTTGCTGACTGACAATTTTATATTTGCTCCTATCAAAAACACCATTGTTTTGGATGACCTTTTGTGGATAAGTAGAGTGTGGATTGCCTTGATGTACGGTAGCAGAACTGTAATGTGTGCAGAGCAGATTGTATGGAAAGGCATGCAAGAGAAATAAGTAATGTTCAGGGACAAACAAAAAAACTTCATGAAAATCTTATTCCTGTTGCATTCCTTTAACACTGAATGTGTTTATGTGACCAGCAGTAAACAAACTCTTTATAACCACTAACTGCAAGAAAGATTTAGTTGCATTGTTTTCTGAGGGACATCTCTGGATATGTATCTATTTTGCAGTTCACTGGTTATTTTAGGTAATCTGGATTTATTTGCTTTGCTTTGAGTTCTAGTCTGTATGGAAACATGTGCATATCAGGCCATGTTTCCTGTTGTTAGTCCATTTTTTAACTACATTCACCTTTCTTTATTACAGTGCCTTGCAATAGCTTTTAACCCTCTTGATAATTGTTACATTTTGTTGCTTTAGAATGTAGAATATGTATATAAAACCAAAAAAAGTTGAATGCCAAATTGCATCATCCGTCACATTTTGAGCCAAAGTGAACTAAATAAAAGATAACCGAGGAGGACAGAGCTGTTTGGTAACAAGTCACATCAGCTCTATGTTCACAGACCCAAAACTGAAACATTGTAAAGGAACACTGTACCTCAGGTGAAACATGGAGGAGGATTGGTTACGTTCTGGGGCTACTTTGCTGCATTTGGCACAGAGCGACTTGAGTCTGTGCAGGGTACGATGAAATCTTAAGACTATAAAGGTATTCTGAGCATCCTTGATCCAAATCATATTGATCATTTGTGGAAAGAGTTAAAGATTTCAGTGTGGCGAAGGAACTAGGGGTGTAAGAAAATATCGATACACTGAAATATCGCGATATTTCATTTCCCGATACTGTATTGATATTCTAAAGCCCTGTATCRATTTTAATTAAGGTTTAAAATGTCAACCTTCTTGCCAACCGTTCATTTTTATGTTGTAGTTCAGCCTCTGACCACTAGTTGGCAGCAGTGAGCCAGACATTTGGCTCCTCTGCCTCTTGAGTGCCAGAGAGTAAGGGTAGCATTAGCATTGTAAGTAAACATTAGCTTTTCTTTTYTTTTTTTTCCAGTATGAGGTTTTTATTTAATAGGATTTTTGGAAAAAAAATCGCAATATATTGCCTTGCTTACAGTATCGCAATATATCGGGATATATCGAATCGTGACCCCTCTGTTACGATATGTATCGTATCGCCAAATTCTTGCCAATACACAGCCCTAGAAGGAACCCTTGACAGCTGGAGAAGTTTGTTCATGTGGAGTGGTCCAAAATACCTGSTGACAGGTGCAAAGTTTTGAAGAGTGTTACAGACGTTGCTTGATTGCAGTGATTGCATCAAAAAGTTACGCAACAAAACATTATTTAAAACTGATCCATTTTGTCAAGGCCCACATAGTTAGTTTGATTTTTACAATGATTCTTTTGAACCATAGTTTCAGAAGCAGTGAATTATTAGTTGCTATTTTTGTTCTTTCTTTAGTCCATTTCTTTTACTTTTTATAGTCATCTTTAATTTTTAGTCACACATTCGCCTAAATGTCTCTTCTTTGTATGAACACAAATAAAGAAAAACAGAAAGAACTTCAACTCACACAGGTTATCACACAGGGGTTCATCATGTAGAGGTGGTGAAGTTTATAGGCTTTAGGCAGTCCATTATTTTCAGTATGATGTAAACATGTCCTTATTATTTACTTCTGAAATTATTCTCTCCATAGTATATATGTTCTTTGTGGTGTCCATTATCATATGGTCAATGATGGCCTCTCCAGGCCTCTCCTGCATTGCATCATGTATAGTCTTGATTACCCTACAATCCCAAAAACTTTTTGGTGGGGTTCAATAAAATACAGTATATAGGCATATGTTACAGCTCTATTAAATGTTGGAAGCATCAATGGTTTTAAATTTTCTTTTAGGTCTTTAGACCATTCTGCTACATAGCCATATAGTTGTATAGCAGCAGCATGATGATGATTTTTTTTACTACTGACAGGAGACCCTTTTCACAATGTTCATAGGCTGAGCATCACAAAACCTGTCACATTTTTAGAATTAGTGTAAATACAGGGAATCCAGATGTGGGCATGGCAAATTGGCTTGCTAGAGCCAAATTTGGAACATGGGTGCATCAGTCCAGGACCTACATAAAGGTCTCCATGGCAACATGATGTAAAATTTACAGGAARTCAGCCATTGCATCCATCTAACCTGGACCCAGGTCATGGAGACAGATCATGATCATGAAGACAGACTTAACTAAGACTAGAACCGATGCAAATGGTGGTGACATAAAATTCTGAGTCTTGGAAGCTGAATATCTATGCACACACCATTTTTAAGTTTTATATTTTTTAGAATTTAAACAAGTTAGTACCCGATTTCACTTTATAATCTAGAGTAATTTTTGTGGAATTATTACTAATAAGCAAATTGAAACTCAGTATAAATTCTAGGTTTTAGGGCAACAAATCAGAAAGAGTACCAAGAGGGATAAATATTTTGCAACATACTGTACTTTTTAAAAAAAAAGTTATACAGTGATACACTGAAGTACTACATTTGGTAGCTAAACAGTTTCTCTTAAACTATTCAGTCCAGATATTGTGTTTACTTGTGTGTGTTTTGCTCCCAGGGGAAAGCTGATTTCATGGGGAGAACCTTTGCTAAGCCTGTGGTAAAGATGGCCGACGAGCACTACGGGCCCCCACGCTTCCCTCCCCAGCTGGAGTACTATCAGATCTACCGTGGGAACGGTGCCGCTGGAGAAATGCTGGCAGCCTTTGAGCTGCTTCAGGTGAGGTCCTCATAGCATCATCATCATGCTGTTTAAAGTTTACGCTTTCTGTGGTTTTATGTTGTGTCTTGTCTTTAAGATTGGACCCAACGGAAAAGCAGACCTCCCCCCCATAGATGGTCCCACAGACATGGACCGTGGCCCAATCATGCCCGTACCACTGGGGATCAGACCAGTGCTCAGCAAGTACAGGATTGAGGTGAAGATGTTGCAATGACTCACATAATCTCAACAACTCTTTCAAATGTGATTGAGAAAGCATTAACACGAGTAAAACCAAGTCTAATGCACTGTTTAGGTTTTGTTCTGGGGCCTGAGGGACTTGAAGAGAGTCAACCTTGCTCAGGTGGATAGACCACGTGTGGACATTGAATGTGCAGGCAAAGGAGTGCAGTCTGCCCTCATTCAAAACTACAAGAAGAACCCCAACTTCAGCACTCTAGTGAAGTGGTTTGAAGTGGTACGATGTTAACCCCTTTTATCTTCAGCTAAGGCAGGATTCAAACATTTGTGTTTGAAATCATAAATAATTAAAAGCCAATCATTCTTTAAAGAGTGGATATCGCTTCCGCTTTATGTTGAGAAACGAAGGAGTTGTAGCCATCAGAACTTGAAAAATACCATTAATACTATTGGAATGTATTCATTCAACTTGAATACATTTTTAAAAACGTTTTTTAAACTGATAAACGTTTCACTTGAAATATAAATCGATATTGGTGCAGGTATCGAGGCATTTTAAACAARTACTTTATATTTATATACTGATATTTTTGGCACCACTTGTTCCAACCATCTCAAATTAGGTTGACCCCAAAAGTTCATCTAAAACTAATGAATATTTCCTAAAATCCATCCAAAGTTGAATAAAATATTTTTCTAACAGAGTTAACTGCAATATTTTCTGAGTTGTTAGTCATTTTGTTAAGACACTTGAGCACAGACCAGCTAAATAAAAAGGTCTGCCTTTGCATTTTAGTGACAAAACTTTTTTTGTATTTAAAACTAATAATATAATAATAAATTATATGAATATTTTATAAATCTGGAATTGAATCTAATTTTCTGTGTCAGGATTTGCCAGAAAATGAGCTGCTTCACCCACCACTGAACATTCGAGTGGTGGACTGTAGAGCTTTTGGCCGCTACACTTTGGTTGGCAACAATGCTGTGACCACCCTGCGGAAGTTCATCTACAGGGGGGCCGACAAGCAGGCCAACAACTGGTCCACCACAGGTAAAAGCTAAAATCCAGGGCCACATTATGGTCAGGGTTTAAAAGAAAAACTTTTTACACTGTATTATACTAATGGAAACATTATACGAGTTGCAGTGATGTGGTTCCTGTATGGATTCCTATAATCAAGTTTGGACATTTGCATCATCTGTGTATCTTTCAGAGGAAATTATTGTTGTCAGCATGGAACCTGAACCTGCCTTTAAGAAAATGGAAACTGTGGTCAAACTAGACTCTGTAGGTTTCACTTTTTGAATTTTTGCAACTTTTACTCAAATACATACAGTAGAACAGTTGGATATAAATCCGGAAACTGCATCTCCACATTAAAAAAACTAAAATTAAATTATGTTTTCTAATTAGAGGGCTCGTATTATTTGAAGTATTGCAAATTTCCTGCCACTTTTTATGTCAGAGAATGATTTCACATGATGACTTAATATGTGGTGCGAATGACTCAGTAAACACCACACCCAGCGTAAAATTCATTGAGATGCAGATATGTTTTATTCTAACATCATTAAATTGTGGCAGCCATATTGAATTGGATTAAACATGTTTGACTTCATCAGATGTAGATGTCAATCAATTTATTACTTTCTGAAAGCTTAAATAACATTTGAATGGTGATTCTCTAAAAAGGTGGTTAATGAGGCAGAACACAGAAAAAAATTACTTTAATGCCTTATAAAATTGCAATATTGCCTTTTTCACTTTTATTCTTTCAGTAAATTAGTGTCCTGTGATTTTACATTCTTTAATCTTTTGTTCTTCCTCAGTGCTCTGAAGCTGTGGTCAAAGTTGAGGTACGTTTTTTGATTTCATGCTCAGATGATTTCTTTCAAAGCCATAACGACAAAATGTGATTAATTCGTTGGATAAACAGGATGATGATAAGGATGAAAAGGGTAAAAAGAAGAAGAGGAAGAAGGGTGGTGATGAACCTGAAGAGGAGGAACTTGATGAGAGCATGTTGGACTGGTGGTCCAAATATTTTGCATCGATTGAAACTTTGACTGAAGTAAGCAACACATATATGTTTTGTGTAAAGTACCACAGATGATTTTTTAGTTTATATAGTCACCTTTATTTAACCAGACAAATCCCACTGAGATCACAGATTTGCAAGGGAGACCTGAGCCTGAAGGCAACCAAGAACAGGGCTGTTCAACTCAAAAAAGTAAAGTAGGCGTATTTGTTGACTTACTGGGTGTCCAGGAGTTAAAGTTTTCTGCAAAAATTTCCTAATTTACTAAGTTGATAAAGTCAAAACAAGAAAAAGAAAAAAGGCTGAAAGGAACAGAGCAGAAGCTAAAAGCTAAAATGAGCAAAACAAATGCTAAATCTTACATTTTGATACTTAAACCTTAAAACAGCTTTAAAATGTAGAACTTTGATCAAACATAACATAAGAAGAGATCAATATAAAAATGTGAAAGCAACACTATTTTTGAAGGAACAACATACTTCTGTGAGAAATGTTTAATTTAGCCTAGTTTATTGAAGCCTACATGGCTTGACGTGACCTGACGTGACCTGACCTGACCTGACGTGACCTGACGTGACCTGACCTGACCTGACCTGGCATGGTATGGCTTGCTATGGCTTGTTATGCTATGCTATGGTTTGATATGAAATGATATATGGCTTGGTATGGCACGGTATAACAGCAAATGAAAAAGAATATGAATTCAATAACAAAACTAAATCAGTGACGATGCAGAAAAAAAGGAAAACAAAGCAACTAGGGCCATAAATGAGGAGTGGCTGAGGACTGGGAGTTTAAAAAGACTTGAGACTAATTATTTGGACTAATGAATATGTGGGGCAGGTGTGAAGAACTGACAAGACAGACTTAGGAAATGCAGTTTGAAGGAACAAGGGAAGTTCGCAAAAACTTGTTTGATAAGAAAACATAACACATTTTTTAAAATGCTATAAACAGGAAAGCAATAGTGTGAATGCTGTGCCAACATTGACAGAAACACAACTCTACTCTTTCAGACTCTCAAGGCTCAAGAAGCAGCTCTCTCAGACACGGAGGAAAAAGACGATATGGACATTGCAGATCGAGGAGGTACGGTCAAATTAGATGTTCATTTAAAAGCCTAGAATTCCTTAAAGAAATACCTTGGAGTTTCCTTTTACAYCACTTTTAGACCACGTCTGGAAATGTTAGTGTTTTTTTCTATGTTTATTGGAATGAATAAACAAATAAAATGAATAAACAAAAACAACACACATTGGTCCGCTGTAGTAGCGTGCTTGAGGTTGCCAGATAAGAAAAAATAAATTGTACTAAAGCGATCCCCGATTAGTTGTAACATTAGACTTTATTTAATAAACGTATATTTTAACTGTGAAATAAAGACTGGTATAATACTGCAGGCTGTTTAGTTT